AAGAGCAAGAAAGAAAGGGAAAGAAAGCTCTGAAAGTCCACAAGACACAATGTTAATGGTTATTTCTGAGTGTGGAGATTATAGGTGAGTTGAGTTCCTCTTCCTCCACAGTGACCTGCCTTTTCTAAGTTTTCCACAATGGCATATTAGATATCAATCATGTGACAAAAAAACATAATAAAATCTTTAGATGATTCTGAGTTCCCACAGTTTTGGCAAAATCCTAGGATACAATTCCCAACAGGATCTGGAGTGTGATGTTTATGTATCTCACTGCAGCTGCTTAGAACCCCTTTTTGATGGTTTCATGACTATTTTAAATTGAGGATGAGAATCAGGTTTCTTGGAGTTTCCATTCTCCATCTTCCCAGCTATCTCCAGTAGAAAACCTAAGAGAAGCAATTTTATCTCTCTCTTTAATGTTGTTTCCCTTCTCCTCCTTTATGCAACTTTTATTGTTTTATTATTTTATTTAACTTGGATTTCATAAATATTTGCATGTGGATATGATTTTTTTAATTGCAGTGTATTTTTTTCCACAAGTTCTAATTCAAAAGTGTGTGACCGTAAGTGCACTTTGCAAAATAACTCCCAGTTTAAATGTTGTTATGCTTTGCTTCTTAAAGATTTAAGTTTAATCCTTTTTCCTTAGAAAGCATCACAAAGGACATGCACTGTGGCTGGAGGAAAATCAATGTCTTTTTAAAGGGATACCGTATATGTTAAAAAGTAAATTGACCTCTTTTCATGGCTTTGTCAATTTCATGCCACTTTTGTCCAATTCTATTTGGTGAAATAATTTTTAGTACCTATTGAGCTCCTCTGTGAAAACTATTTCAGTGGTTACTAATGATTCATTAGCCAACATTTCAACAGGGCTATCCTTGAATTTGTAGCAACATTAAGAATTGTGTTTGTTCCAACACATCTGTTATACTAGTCAGCTTTTAGTCCTCAATTATGGGAATCTCAGAAACCATTTGACTGGGTTTAGGTTATCTGTGAATTTTCATAATATTTTATGGCCACCGGCTGCATTTTTATGGCTATATATTAAATGTTTTATTTTTTCAAATAACTTTTCCAAATGGTCTCAGTTTCCCATCCAAGGGAAGTCAGGAATATGCCCAAACATCTACTGTTCAGCAAGTTATCACGGCTGCAAAACCCCAAATAAACAGAAAAGATGCAAAATAAAATCCTTTTTTTAAAAGAGAAATACCAGTATGCTCAAAATCCACACACCTGACCTCTCACTTTAGCTCTTCTTGGGTAACATGACTTCAGCTTTTAATTGGAACCTTTTTCATAATTGTTGCCATTTAACACACTTAGTCTGTCAAATCATGGGATATCTTTATAGCCATATAATAAACCCTAGAGAACAACTTCTCTGACTATAGCCATCTGCAATGATCACAAGAGTAGCTTACAAAATACTGACAGTCTTTATGGTAATAGGATACATATGGCAGCCCACAATTATGTGTAGCTGCATTCAATTAGTGTTGTACAATTACACAGTTTTATTGCTTAGTTAAAACAGTGAAAGCACTACATACTGGGTAATTTGCACTAATCCTCATCTCTTTAATAGTCCCTCAGTGTTTAAGATGTGGGGGAACATCTATAGTATTTAAAGGACCTGGGCTGAACATTGTATCTCATGTTGTGAGATCTCCTTGACTGACAATTGTTGTACTCCCACTTCACGTGTGGGTCATGTTTTATAGAGGCTTTAAAACACAGTTATAGCAAGAAGTTCCTCTGACACCAGAACCCCACTTGCTGAATCAGGTTGTCCAAGTCTATACTTGCAGCCTGCTAATGTCCTTTCTGAAAGATGGTCAAGATGAGCAGGCATACTGAGGAACAGAATGACTCTGAGAGTACAATAAGCCAAGGACTCAGCCTTTAAGATAGGAACTGGTGAGAAGCTTTTCTGATTTCTAACTTTCAATTAAAAACTTGATTCAAAGTGAATTTACAGCCGCCATTTGGGAAAATACATTATAGAGATGGTTTTGCAAGTATGTGAGTGCGCACACATGCATGCTTGTGCACCAGTGTGTGCATGCACTCTTGAAACAGATGTTTTGAGCAATCTGTGATGTATAACAAAGTTTTAATGGTATTTGCAAATGGCCTCTCTCATGCCCCTCTGAAACTGGCTCAGGAAGAGATGAGGGTGAACAGTGCTCAGGTTGCAGCAGACACTCATGGTGAGGGCCAGGGTGAGAGAACTCATTATGCCACTTCAGAAAGGGACTCTCCCATTGGAGGAGAAGAAACACTGGAATAAATTCTTCTCCATCATTCTCCCAAAGTGTTGACAGAGAAAGCCCCAAAGTAACCTTGTTTCCTGCCCTGCCTGACAATAAGTTAAACAGAATTCTAAAACCAGAGGACTGGACATTTATTCACCTGCAAAAATATTTTGTTGACACATTTCTAATGTACTTCAGTCTTGCAATGTTTTCAATTACAAGGGATAGGTCTTTGTCTGTAAGCTCTTTTTTGTCTCTCCTAAGTATCAGTCCAATCTCTTTATGTTCATGAGTGTTCTAAGCAAAAAAAAAACAAAAATCCAAAAAACAAAAAACAGGAGGGGGCATTGGATAAGTGACTAAAGAAGGAGAAAACAGAACATTAAAATTATAAATGCAATATACTTCATTTAAATGTCTTTGGTGTTTTAGAAGTATTACTACTTTTAGGTTTTCCTTGCTTTCCTCATTTATGTAGCTTTCCAATGTATACTTTTTCTTTTGCTTGTTGTGCTGGGCTGGGATTGAACACAGGGCCATGAGTTTTTCTCAGTTATGAGAAGTTTGGACTTTATTGCTCATCTATATAAAATATAATTAATGTATGGCCATATGTTACATGGAATTCCTGATAAAATATAGGTTCAAAAATAAAACCCTTGCTCCATGTAAGAGAATTACATGGTCATATTCAGAACTTTAATGGTATTTAATGATTGGATTCCCCAACATCTGGTTTTATCTAACTTTTGAATAAATTAGGTGATATAGACACTGTTTTAAAAAAAAAAAAAATCTACAGAACTCCTGCATAAATGGGGTTGAATAGATCAAAATCTGTACCATCTCCCAAAGCACACCTCATGAATGTTTGGACTTAGCAGAACATCAAAGCAAGAGGTTATTTTGCATTTTAGAAAGGTTACTAGTAACAAAAGGGAACTACGGAAGTAAACAATTTTGCTCTACAGGGGAAGTAAACTAGACAGATGATCTAGTAGATGTTTCCATCTCATATTTCTTTTCATGAAAAACATTTGCTTGTTGTTTAGATGACCAGAATGTCCAGAACAATGGGACTACAATTTAGGGGTTTCTTTGTCCTGAGAACATTTAGGCTGAGGACAATACTGTGTTTTGCAGTTCTGATGCCTCCAAGTCCTAACTCAGACCTGTTTATGGTGGTGACCAGGGCTGCACAGCTGCTTCATTAAGTGTCCATCCCACCAGACACATGGCTGTCTCTCCCCTAACACCCGAGCAGGTGATCCCCCACTCTTTGGATGCCTGCACCAGGGCAGCCCAAACTAGATAGTGATCCAGAGCTCTGGGGGAAAAGACTCCATGTTCTGAACGTGAACAGATATAAAAGAATAATTTCTACCCAGCCTCTCTAGAGAGAAGAATCTGACCACTGCTGCTGCCAAAATAGTTGGATGCAAATGGTCATTGCTGGTTCTGCAGCTTAGCTGGCCAAACATCTGCACTTTGTGCTATAGTGGAATGCAAAGTGAATCAAGTTTTTCCAAAGGAAGGAGGATATGCATGTGAACAGTAGCAGCACTCCTGATGTGTGGAGATATGTCTTGCTGTGCAGGAGGTGCAGACTGCTTCAGCACGTACCAGATGATCATAGAGTGATAACAGAAGAACATGCGAGCCTCGACTTACTGCATGAATTATTTTGATGTATGAGGAAAATTTCATTTCCTTGAGGCATCTCTGAAAGATTGCCCTTGCTAGAAATACCAGAAATGTACTGAGGTTTTCTTTTCTTTATCCTATTGATTCCAGAGGGCACTGAGTACAAGTTCTGAATGCCCTTTGATCCTTTCTTTCTAATCAATGAAGTTGTTTGGGATACTTTTTAGAGCATATCCTTTTGGTTTGATCACAGACTAGAATTAAAGCATATAAATACTTGCCTACAGTCATAGGCATCCTTTTTTTGATTTGTTGGGTGAAAGACTAGAAACTTTTACTGCCTTAATAAGGAAACCTGGACAGAATGCTGACTCTGCACCTGATAAATCTTTCCAAATTGCCACAGGTAAAATGAAATGTTAATATCCCTCTCAATTATTAATAAAAAATGTAAATAGATCTTGTCGGAAATGTAGGGCACTGAAAATAAAGTATTTTAATATGCGTGTAGTTTTGTATGTGTAGTTACTTAAAAAAGGCATATTTAAAGCTTCTCATATATTGGGATAAAGAAGTAATTATTTTCATAAAATAAAGCACAAGAGACTTTCTATGCCTCATTTTACTATTCAAATCAACTTTAGTTGTAGAAAGCATTAAATACAGGTAAGAAGAAAAAAAAAGATCTTTATAATCCTACCACCCAGAGACAGACCCACAAAACTGTGTTCTTTCAGACTTATTTTCTATATTGTTTTATTTTTTGATTTAACAGACATTTTATACAAACCAGTCTAAAATCTTATATCCTTACCTCCCAAACATAATTTATTACAATGAGTATAACCTCACATCACCATTTTAAAGGCCATGTACATCCCATTGTATGAATGTACCATTGTTAACTTAGCGAATTTCCATTGGCTGTATTTCCAAATTTGCAGTCATCTAAACAAAAATATTGTGCATAATTGCCTGATTTCTTAATATTATGTACATTAAATTTAAACCATATTGTCCCTTGTTTTATCAACAAAAAGCCCTTGAGCTCTTAGTTTTAAGGTGATTGTGCTTTTACTTTTATTTTAGGTATATGAGCACCAAGATGGCAGCAAATCCCTGAAGCTGGGTGACTTTGGATTGGCCACCATTGTAGATGGCCCCCTATACACAGTCTGTGGCACCCCAACATATGTGGCTCCTGAAATAATTGCAGAGACTGGGTAAATGCTTCTTCTGTGTTTTAGTTCTATGCTTACAAAAGAACTGGGCTACCTTGATGATAAGAAACATAGTACTACTCTGGCCCATCCAGACAGAATCAGCCCTCAGGTTTGTTTTTTTGGTTTTTTTTAACTTTTATAGTAGGAGCTATTTTCTCTGCTTTCCCAATCAAGTTACCAATTACTGCAATCTTGTTTAAAGCTATCATTTGGGCTTTGTTAAAGGTAGAATGGAAGTTATTAACCCCAGAGTAAAAAATGTTCAGACTAACAGAGAAATGTACAAGTATTGGTAATTAACTTGCTTTTGGAGAAAAAAAGACACTGTTGTGTGGTGATTACACTCTCCTGTGGTTATTTCTCTCAGCCACCTTTATACATTTCTGGTCCTGTTTTAGTCCTTTTGGAAATCCATTGATTTCCTGTGGAGTGAACACCCTTAGGCATCAGAGGACCATTGAGAATTTGCTGGTTTCTTTATACAGAATCAGGGGAATGAAAACCTCTACACTAAAATGGGGAGAGAAAGTGAAATAACTTATTACTATTAAGGACCTAATACATGCCAGCCTTAAACTCATTTACTTAATTCTTGTTCTTCTGGTGAATAGTAAGAACTATTCCCATTTTGCACATAGATCCACTGAGACTCATCTCTGAGGGCTTAAGTATCCTGTAAGCTCATGACCTCTTAGAGACTAAGTTAGTATTTGAACTCAGGTTAGCCTGAAAGAAAGGCTTTTTCAGCTAAGAACCTATTTCTTACCAACAGCCATAGTCAGAGCCATGAGGTGCTGAAGTTGATCTGAATTTGGGAGGGGACAGCCCCATTTTCTTTCATTAGCAATTTCAGTCCACACTTGGGAATCCAGGTAGTACCATCCACTGTGAGCACTTGAAGATGATTTTTTCTACTTGTACCATAGAACCAGTGGGCAGAAAGACAAAAAAGGTGAGAAGGAAACCCCAATAGGGAAACTCCTAGGATGAGATATGAGAGAATGGGGACTTTTTATTTGTCAGAGTTGAGTGATTTTGGAGGCCACATCTGTACCTTACCTGACCTCCCTCAGAAAGTGCTGCCACTGACATAGCTACATCTGCTACTGGGACATATTCTGACAGTCTGCTGGGAGGGTTGAGGAGATGTGGGAAGAGAATTTGGTTGGGCCCTGAAGACCTTGAAGAGAGTCCATTTCTGTTACTAAAGATGCTATCTTGAGCAACAGGTTCACCCTCTGAACCTGCTTTATCTTCTATAAAATAGGTAATATTTGTCCTATCTAACCCACAAAGTCATTGGGAAAACTAAATAGGATAATATATGTTAGCTCTTCATAAGCTGGAGAATGTTCTTCAAATAATTATGATTACTAAAATTAGAGAGTTAGGTCCCATTTCTATCTCAAAATTGGTATGATTATAATAAACCTTTTTGCTGACACCATTCACTTATTGATATTTGGATATGAGCCTATGAGGCACGCATTGCTCTGATTTTTAAAAAATATTTATTTTATAGTTATAGTTATATCAATGCCTTTATTTTATTTATTTGTTTTTATGTGGTGCTGAGGATCGAACCCAGGGCCTCGCATGTGCTAGGCGATCGCTCTACCACTGAGCCACCCCAGCCCCCCATTTTTATTCGTACCTTAGATAGTCTTTTTAATTTTTTTATACTTACTTCCTTGAACTCTGTTTAGCTGGTGGGCTTTGGTTCACTGTTTGTCATTGGGTTTTTTATTTTGTTCAGTCTTCTTTATGGTGTGGAATAGAAGAGTCATCTATTTTAGCATGCCCCATAATTTGTCCTGGCCTGACTTTGCTAACTCTAACATCACTTATTTTTCCAGATATGGCCTCAAGGTGGACATCTGGGCAGCTGGTGTAATCACTTACATCCTACTGTGTGGTTTCCCTCCATTTCGTGGGTATGGGCAGCAATTTTTATTCAGCACCAACAGAGTATTTCTCTATTCTCTGAATGATCCATTTGCCTTTCTTGAACAAAGGGGCCTGAAGCAGGAAAAGAACATAATAACTTCACTTGAAATGCCTGTTGTTTTTTTCCATATTGTGCATGCTAATTTATATACCTTCCATAAATCTTCCTCATATAATTTAAAAACTCATTCTTTCTTAATTTACCCAAACAGTTGCATATTGACGTTTTCGATTGCTTTAAGAACACACATTTTACACATTTATGGGGAAAGGAAGGGCTCAGTGCATTAAAAAAATGATGAAACATGCCCTGAGTTGACCTTTTAGTGCTATTTTCTCCTGTTGTTGTTCATCTAAACAGAAGTGGTGATGACCAGGAGGTGCTTTTTGATCAGATCTTGATGGGGCAAGTGGACTTTCCTTCTCCATACTGGGATAATGTTTCTGATTCTGCAAAGGTATGTTGCCAGTGCCTGCCTCTTCCTTACAGCCTAGAGAAATTATTGATTCCAAATCATTATGCACAAAGAGACTAATGATATCATAAATGTGATTTGTATACCTTTTAGTTGTAATTACTCGGTTTTCTAAGATTTCACAGACATCCAACCATCAGTTCTTGGCCATCCTAACAAGCACTTACCAAGTGACTCTACTTTGTTGTCACTGCAGTTACATTGTGAAAACCTCTTTCTGTGCTCCCTCCTCACCAGGCTTGAGCCCAGCTCAGATTTCTGCATGGCACATTGCTACACCCTTCTCAGGTCTTATCATCTCCTCAGTGAAGCCTTCCCAGACCACCCCATCTCCCATTGCAGCTCTTAAGCCTTACCTGGCTTGCCTGATCCTCCTTATCTGTTTTATTTTTCTCTATAAAATGTAAACTCCTATGTCCATCTGGTATACCATGTAACCACCTATCTCACCTACATAGGTAAATAGACATATATAGATAGGAGGATATGTTCTATTCGTGTCGTTTATTTCCACACTCTCCCTAATACAATGCAAATTCTGTGAAGGCAAGGATTTTTGTCCATTTTATTCATTGTGGTATCATCAGTGCCTAAATCATAACTGGTACCTAATTAGTGATCAATATGTATTCAACAAATTAATAATGTATGGGTAAGTGAATCAAGCAATTAACCAATCAAAGGGAAGAAAGCTCAACCTCAACATAGGTTGAAATGATCAACAAAGAATTTATGGGGAGGCTATGTTTGTTTAGAGGCAGGGAATCAAACATATGATGTTTATCCCACTGAACTAATAGTGGTGATGGTTGCACAATAATGTGAATGTATTGAGTGCCACTGAAATGTTCACTCAAAAATGGATGAATGCTAAATTTTATGTATGTTTTAACATACTTTTAAAATAATACAGATCAGCATCTAAAAGACTATAAAATTCTTACATTGGCATATTAGTAGACTTGGAAAGGAAGCAAAACCTTGTAATTGATCTCTTTTAAATTTATGTAGATTGAATATCCCTAATTTGAAAATCCAAAATGCTCCAAAATCTGAACTTTTTAAGCACCAACATGATCTCCTAAGTGGAAAATTCCACACCTGACCTCATGTGATGGACTGTAGTCATAACATAGATGCACTAAGGTATTGTGTAAAATTATCTTGAAGCTATAAATATGTATAAGGTGCATATGAAACAATGAATTTTGTATTTAAATTTGGGTTTCATTCCCAAAATATCTCTTTATGTAATGCAAATATCCTAAAATTAAATAAAAAAAGAAAACAATTTTAAATCTGAAGCATTCTAGTCCCAAGATTTTTGAATAAGGGATACTCAACCTGTATCATGTTACAAGCATTGACTTACATTTTTGAAAATTTGATGTTGAAAATAATCATCTTTTGGTTGTTCAATGGGTATGACTTTCCTTTTGCTATATCCTGAGTATAAGTACAAATTAAAACTGAACCCCTTGGATCTAACCCCTTTGCATAGGAAATGATGCATATTGGGCACAAGTCTCTCATTTACTTCAACTGTCCAAGAATCCACATCTGGACTTAGGGAAATGTAGGGAAATAAGAGAAATGTCAGAAGAAAGGCCAGAGGTAAAAGGAACTGGGGTGGTGTTGGGGTAGGGTTGGAGCACTGTCACCTGTAAGCAGGCTTTTCGGAATCTGCCCAACTCTTAATGTTCTAACTCTATACCTGCAATCTTACAGTTACTGACAAATGGGACCATCTCCTTTATCCCCACAGCACCTGGCAGAGAGCACCATACACAGTCACGGCTTTAAAAAGTCTTGATCCAAGTTAGAAAGTGAATGGAAAGCTTGGTAGAAAGCTAAGGTAGATTCCACATCAATGGAAATCAGTCATTCCCATTCCACGTGGTACTCAGAGCCTGTGTACATAAGAAACAAGATAATGCCTATCTAACCATTTTGTTATTTGGAACTTCCAAAAGTGGGCAAATGTTTGACAAATTGAAGAGAGCTGTGCCATCCTGGTCCAAATCACTTTGAACTCATAGGGAAGGTCCAAATCACTTTGAGCTCATAGGAAAATTTCATTGAAGAATCTTCTAGTCACTTAGCTCTTAATAGTTCCACTTTCTTTGTATTGATAAGTCTGGAAATTTTTGAAGCAACTTTAACACATTTCCTTAGAATCATTTGGCTACTAAAGGATAATTCTCTTGGGCTGGGGATGTAACTCAGTGGTAGAGCACATGTTTAATATACATGAGCCCCTGGGTACAGTCTGTAGCACCAACCCCCTAAAAGTTCTATTTTACCAACTAGCTATTGGAAATTCTACATCTTTTTTCATTCCTTTCTTTCAAGCCTAAATATCCTGTCTGCAGATTAGGTAAAATCCATTTTTTTTCCTTTCATCTGTCAAAGTGAAAATTTAGTGTTTTTAAAATATGACTTTATAAAACGTTTAATTAAGAAATCTAGTTTTTAATTGTAAGATCATAGTCAAAGAAAGGTCTACTGATGCTTTAACATGAATAATGCTTTTTTTCTATTAAAAATATTTCTATGAAATTTATTTTCATAACTTATTTTCATTTTTTTATCAATTGCAAGCTATATATTTGTAATTCTAAAAGTTGATCTTTCCTTTAACTTTTGAAGATGTTATTCAGGTAGTTGCAGGTAAGTGGAGTTGATATAATTCAGATTAAGGGCTTTTACAAATGCTTTTCCAAAAGGAAGAGAAAGCCCATATTTGCAAACACCCAGCTTTTCACCTTCAAAGACAAATAAATGGAGTCTAATGTTCCCCTTCACAGGAGCTCATTACCATGATGCTGTTGGTCAATGTGGATCAGCGATTTTCAGCTGTGCAAGTCCTTGAGCATCCCTGGGTTAATGTAAGTGACTTACTTTCCTCCCTCTATGCACACCTAGCCTGCCTTTGAAAAACTGCTTGCAGATTTCCTAATGATATTGCCTCCTGTAGTGCTTGAGTTTATTCCTTCCCCTAAATGAGCCAGACCATTTACAGAATCCTACATTCGTTCCCTGAGGGTATCTGATGTGTCCATTTCATTTGATTCCAATAAGACGCCTTCTAACTGGAGAGGGACAGGTGATTCACATCCCCTACCCCACAACCTACTTTCTATGGTCCAGATTGCAGCTGAATAATCATCAGTAAGACAGAGCAGGTTTTCTGAATCAGTCCTACTACTGTGTCCTTCCTTCCAACGTACAAATGACTCCAGGGGGGTTTACACATGTACCCAGGAGCACTCCAGGCAGTATTTCTTAAACTTGAGTGTGCTCACAAACCTCATGAGAGATCCTAAAATACAATTACTAATGCAGCAGGTTTGAAGCTCTGCATTTCTCAGAGCTCCAACCTGCTGCTTCTATGTCTGTCCTTTGAGTACAAGAGTCTAGTGACATTTCTTTAGCTAGGAAAGAATTTTCCAGAACAGAGTCATTCTTTTTTCTTTTTTTGACCATGTGTCTCTCTACAACTGATAGATACAATTTGTTTGGACAAATAATAATAGTAGTTTACACAGACTGCTCAACTTCAGGAGTCTGACAGTCCTGTTTTATGCACCTCATATACATTAACTGTGTTCTTCCCCACAACTTTATAATTTACTAATCTAGCTGCTGTTGTAATCCCCATTGACAGATGGGGACACTCCCTAACTGTCTGCAGATTAGGTAAAATCCATTTTTCCTTTCATTTGTCAAAGTGAAAATTTAGTGTTTTTAAAATGTGACTTTATAAAATGTTTAATTAAGAAATCTGGCTTTAAATTTTAAGATCATAGTCAAAGAAAGGACTACTGATGCTTTAACATGAATAATGCTTTTTTTTCTATTAGAACTATTTTTATGAAATTTATTTAAATATTAACTTATTTTCATTTTTTTATCAATTGCAAGCTATATATTTGTAATTCCAAAAGTTGATCTTTCCTTTAACTTTTGAAGATGTTATTCCCATTGAAACTGACTGGTTCTTCCTACCAGAAGAGAAGACAGATGACAGATTTGGTTATAGATATGTATACAGACCAAAAGAAATGGGCATTCATAAAATTGTTAGCTCATTGATATCAATGTTGCCAGGCTACTGCATGAATGATCTGGCAACAAAATGTTCTCTTCCTCTGAATTGTCATCTTGGCAGGCAGTCAAGTGTTTTTTTTTCCAAAGTAACTAATTATGGAGGACAAGCCATGATTGCAAGCACAGTCAAAAGGTGAGGTGCCAACATGTGAGGTATCAGGAGCTTGGGATCGTATTCATGTTCTCCGACTTGGTGGCCATGGATCTAGGTTTTATGTGTGCATGTGATTCTTCACAATCCGCTGCAAGGTTATATTTATATGACAGGAGGATATAAATGAATATGAATGCATCGAGATTTGCAGCTTAGGCTTACTTTAAGTCTTTTCATAGAGCAGAGTGTTCTAATTGGTGTAAAGATGTACAAAAATATTAATCCCCTCAGTATCTGGGATAGTGGGCTATCACATCCAAGACATCACTTGGAGCCTCAGCAACCTTTGCATTATCTTTTCCTGTGAAGTGAGAAGGATGCATGTTATTTGAGTATAGTAAAAAGCCAAGGAGATAGGCAGAGCCAATATTATTGTACCCATTTTACAAATAAGGACACTGACATTGTGGGAGCGATTTTCTCCAACTATCCAAGCTTGCAATAGAGCCAGAATTTGTTGTCAGGTATTCTCACTGTCCTACCTCTCTCCTCCTTTTGTTAAACATGAAGCACTGTGAATTTTGAATAAGGGCACATTGTGGACATCAGCAATATTGTGGTCATTGTGAATACAAGTTAGCAACCTTTCCATACTAACTTACTCTGTCATGGTGCCTTTCCCTTAGGTGTTCAGGTAAGAAATGCCACAAGCTAGCTCCAGGCTCTCTTGAGGACAGCAGTTGATTCTGACAGTCAACATGGACTAACGAAATGCCAAGGTCCACAACTTGTCCAATTGCACATTAGACCTAGAAAGACTGAGACAGATGACCACACAAAATAAACTGGAAAACTTGAACATGAAATGTGGCTTTCAAAAACTCATTATGAGGGCTGGGGTTGTGGTAGAGTGATTGCCCAGCATATGTGAGGCACTGGGTTTGATCCTCAGCACCCATATACTTAAAAAAATAAATAAATAAACAAAGTTATAAAAGAAAAAAAAAAGGTCAGGTCTTTAAAAAAAAAAAATCATGATGAGCTACAGAAGGAAGAGATTAATGGGTGACAAAGAGCCATTTTAGATTCCTAAATACATTTTATTTTTACTGCCTGCCAGACCCGCTCTCAGGAGCAATGTCTGATGCAGCCCAGTTAAGGGCAGTGAGCAGGGCTGGCCTAGCAGCCTCTGTGGGGAGGTTGCCATGGAAGTTTCCTGGAACAATGCCAGAGCTCAGTCCTGCAGGAGGCTGGAAAGGAGATGTCCAGTAGGGTCAGCTCCAGCCGACATGGACATTGGCTGAAAGGTGACTTTGTGAATGTGAGCAAATCTATACATGAGGAGTCTAGAATTCAGTTAGAAACAAGAGAAATGCTTACCTTGACTTCAGGACAAATAGTGCTCTATCAATATTATCCCAACCCAACTAGGGTAGAAAAAGAAAATTAAGAAGACTTCTGGCTCTTACCTTTGAAAACCTAGGTGCTCATTTTCTTAGCATTAACTTTCTGCCTCCTCTACCTGCTTTGCACACATGGTCCCATCTTGCTGGCAGTTATCTTCAATGGCTCCCTCTGGAACTTGGATTTCTACTATTTTTTTTTTCAGATTTTCCTTACAGATTCCCTAAAAGCACTTTCTAAAATCAAGAGTAATGTTTAAGTAATAATCATTAAGTAAAGATCCTGTTTGAATGCCACAAGGAGATTTAAAAAAAAAAGATAACCCTTTACATAATTCTGTATTGGTTTTAGCAAAAAACCTTTTGAATGCCTCGTGTAGAAACTGCTTCTTTGCCTTTGAAAAGAAGGCAGTTTCTATGTATACTTTTACATAGCAATTAAATCAGAAAACTGCTTATTTTCTTTGTCTCAAAACAATATGTAAGCTTTCACAGACAGCATTTAGCATTTGTTGAGGTCTCTGAGTGCAACACAGGAATGACCAGGCCATCAAAATAAATAAATTAGGGATTTAAAAGGATATCCATTTAACAAGACGTTTTGCATTTGGCAATCAAATTATATCTGATCACCACAAAGTATACCCCCTAAGGGGGAGAGAGGTAATAATAATTATGTGAACCCTAAGGAGGTCAGCAGAGAGCTCTTCCTGCGCTCTCATTAGTTCTAATTTTCTCTATTGCTTATACGATGACCTTTACACCTGGAACACTTGGAATTGAAAAGGCACTTCTCTTATGAAACAGAAAATAGAGCATAAGGGAAATAGAATTTTAAAAATTAAGTCAGCAAAAGTCACTTGTTTTAGCCTTATTCCAGGAGCTTCCTCTGAGCTTGCATTTATTTTTAACACACTCTGGGTGCAAACCCCACCCTGCTTCTTGGTATCCTTGGCCTCAAAGGGTCATGAGCATGGCCTCTCAGTGGATGGTTCTGGTGAGCCCACTGAAAGAATGATATCACCAACATGCAGCCAAGTGCATAAGAAAGGAATGGAGACTTCCAGAAGGAGCTTGAATACCTGTGTGACCTGGGGCAAGTTGTTTCTTTCCTTCAAACCTGTTTTCCTGCCTGTGGAATAGGGAAAACTGGATCAACTTCTCTGCTTCTAAAGAGGATAGAGAGAGGATCATATACTTAAAGGGCCCGAGAGGACACTCTGAAGCCCCAGCACCAACATAGATACTTAGTGAATGCATGAAGAATTTGAGTCTGAGCAGAGCAGCAACTCTGTTACCTATTGTCACATGCTGAAGAAATGCAAATTGTCATCAGTATTGGCCTAAGAGTAGCTTGATTGAGGAGGAGAGCCCCTCACTCAAAAAAAATTATCCTGCTTGAATGCCATAAGCTCCATGTAGGTTATGTGGACATTATCAGCTTTTCTTTCTCCTGACAACTTATCTAATATAGTTATGAAATCCCAACAGACATTGTCTCAGCTGAGTTTACTAACCTTATTACACATCTAGTGGAGAACCATAGGATTTAGGCACATATAAGAGTGAAATAGGCAATGATATATCTAGATCATTCTATGAATTAGGGTGAAGGTTGAGTCACTTGCCCCCTGATGAAGCTTTTTGGAAAGAAAATGTAGGTTGGGCTGGGCACAGTGGTGCACACCTGTAATCCCAGTGGCTCGGGAGGCTGAGGCAGTAGGATCTCAAGTTCAAAGCCAGCCTTAGCAAAAGCGAGGCAATAAGCAATTCAGTGAGACCTGTCTCTAAATTAAATACAAAATAGGGCTGGGGACATGCTCAGTGGTGGAGTGTCCCTAAGTTCAATCTCCAGTACCAAAAAAGAAAAAAAATGTAGGTTGGTGATAAATCCACAAACCGAATAGACATTGCCAAAACAAAATTTCTTCTTTGTAATAAGGATCAAATTATCATTGTTATCATATTTCAAATGTTTTGCTTTGATTGCATTTTTGTTTTCAGAATACCAACTCGCCTTTGCCTGTTTTATTCTCCTAATCCTCTGGATTGCTATAATTCTAGGAGTCTCTTTAACCTCAAATTATTTTTCTTATTTTGCTGATGAGAAAACTGAGGCACAAAGGAGTTTAGCATAAAGCTCAGTGGAGTCTCTAGCACAAAGTCTTATGGCTGGGTTTTGCCTCCAAGGATTCTGATTTGATTTTCCTGTACTGGCATCTGGGCATCAGCAATTTCAAAGCTTGGAAGGTGATTATAATGTGAGAGTAAGTTTGAAAAA